CAAGCTGATTTCCTTATATCAAACACGCTGATTACCGTTATAAAAAAAACATTGCCAAGCGATTTCAATGAGACACGAATACGTTAACTTGATCTTCAAACGTTAAACGTAATATTTCATAAAAACCCAAGAGGAGATTTTATAAATATCTTGGGCTCTTTCTATATTCTGTGAATGTTTGTATGTCTATCAACGTTTGTGTTTCTATGAATGTTTGTGTGTCTATGAATGTTTGTGTTTCTATGATTGTTTGTATGTCGATAATTGTTTGGGTCTCAATAAATATTTGTGTTTTTATGATTGTTTGCTTCGCTTTTTTGTGTCGCTATGAATATTTGCGTGTCTGTGAAGGTTTGTGCGTCTATGAATGTGTGTGTGTTTCTATGATTGTATGCCTATCAATGTTTGGGTGTAAAAGAATGTTTATGTGTCTAGGAATGTGTGTTTGGGTCTATGATTGTTCGTGCATCTATATGAATTTTTGTGTGTCTATTAATGTTTGTGCGTCTAGGAATTTTTGTGAATCTAGGTATGTTACATTGCCTAGGAAGTTTGTAGCTCAGTGAACGCCTTTGTGTCTAGGAATGTTTGTGAATCTAGGTATGTTACATTGCCTAGGAAGTTTGTAGCTCAGTGAACGCCTTTGTGTCTAGGAATGTTTGTGAATCTAGGTATGTTACATTGCCTAGGAAGTTTGTAGCTCAGTGAACGCCATTTGTGTTTAGGAATTTCTATGGGTCAGTGAATGTTTTTTTTTGTGTACCTGGGAATGTCAGTGTCACAAGCTGAAGCTTGTGTGTCTTAGCTGCCTGTGTGACAAACATCCGCTGTTATTTTTATGCTCGCCAACGTATTCCTGGCCCATCACAGGTGGAGATACCACACAACAAAAGGACGCCACGGTGTCAGCAGCAGAGCGTGAAGATCAATGGACCATGTCTTCTTTGTTATCTGGTGTCAATAAATGCTAACGGGGGCGGAATTATATAGGGTACGACACAGGATGTGGCGTGGGAAGAATATCATGGGATATTTGATGGCATCTCGTATATGATTGGCGGATAAATAATGAAATGCAATGGGATAGTATAATTTTTAAAGATATAATATGAGGTGGTATAACATTGAAATGTATATTATGAGATGGTATAACATTGAAATGTATAATATGAGATGGTATAAAATTGAAATGTATAATATGAGATGGTATAACATTGACATTATAATGTGAGATGGTATAACATTGGAATGTATAATGTGAGATGGTATAACATTGGAATGTATAATGTGAGATGGTATAACATTGGAATGTATAATGTGAGATGGTATAACATTGGAATGTATAATGTGAGATGGTATAACATTGGAATGTATAATATGAGATGGTATAACATTGGAATGTATAATGTGAGATGGATTTGAGATGAATTATAATGATTTAACATAACAAAATGAGATGGATTAACGGAAGGGATGAGCGATGGGATGGATATAAAAAGTGGAAAGGGTACAATGAGGTGGATGGATACTAGTAGTTGAATGGAGACAATACGTTGGATGGATACATTTATTTCAATGGATACAATGAGATGGATGGATACAATGAGTTGGAAGGATACAATGAGTTGGATGCAGTCAATAAATTGGATGGATAAATTAACTTGAATGGATAAAATGATTTGGACAGATACAATGATTTGAAAGGATTTGATGAGTTGGATTGGATTCAGTGAGTTGGATGGATACAATGACTCAGGTGGATACAATGAGTCGAATGTATACAATTAGTTTAATGGCCGCAATGGGTGGGATGGATATAATGAGTTGAATGGGTACAATGAGATGGTTTACTACCTTAATGAGGGGATATTAGATTCGCTGAACATTGTTGGACGTATAATGACATTCAAGTTCCAGAAGCTTAGCAGACCGAATGAATGTGGTAAGACTTGGCAAACCAACGGAAAGATGTGATAACACTTAGCAGACCGAATGAATGTGGTAAGACTTGGCAAACCAACGGAAAGATGTCATAACACTTAGCAGACCGAATGAATGTGGTAAGACTTGGCAAACCAACGGAAAGATGTGATAACACTTAGCAGACCGAATGAATGTGGTAAGACTTGGCAAACCAACGGAAAGGTGTGATAACACTTAGCAGACCGAATGAATGTGGTAAGACTTGGCAAACCAACGGAAAGATGTGATAACACTTAGCAGACCGAATGAATGTGGTAAGACTTGGCAAACCAACGGAAAGATGTGATAACACTTAGCAGACCGAATTAATGTGGTAAGACTTGGCAAACCAACGGAAAGATGTGATAACACTTAGCAGACCATATGAAAGATGTGGTAATACTTAGCAGACCAAATGAATGTAGTAAGACTTAGGCAGACCAAATCAAAGATGTGGTAATAAATAACAGATTAAATAATTGTGGTAAGACTTAGCAAACCGAAGGAAAGATGTGGTAACAGTTAGCAGACCATATGAAAGATGTGGTAATACTTAGCAGACCAAATAAATGTAGTAAGACTTAGAAAGACCAAATCAAAGATGTGGTAATAAATAACAGATCAAATAATTGTGGTAAGACTTAGCAAACCGAAGGAAAGATGTGGTAACACTTAGCAGACCATATGAAAGATGTGGTAATACTTAGCAGACCAAATGAATGTAGTAAGACTTATGCAGACCAAATCAAAGATGTCGTAATAAATAACAGACCAAATAATTGTGGTAAGATTTAGCAAACCGAAGGAAAGATGTGGTAATACTTAGCAGACCAAATGAATGTAGTAAGACTTATGCAGACCAAATCAAAGATGTCGTAATAAATAACAGACCAAATAATTGTGGTAAGATTTAGCAAACCGAAGGAAAGATGTGGTAATACTTAGCAGACCAAATGAATGTAGTAAGACTTATGCAGACCAAATCAAAGATGTCGTAATAAATAACAGACCAAATAATTGTGGTAAGATTTAGCAAACCGAAGGAAAGATGTGGTAAGACTTAGCAGACCAAATGAATGTAGTAAGACTTATGCAGACCAAATCAAAGATGTCGTAATAAATAACAGACCAAATAATTGTGGTAAGATTTAGCAAACCGAAGGAAAGATGTGGTAAGACTTAGCAGACCAAATGAATGTAGTAAGACTTATGCAGACCAAATCAAAGATGTCGTAATAAATAACAGACCAAATAATTGTGGTAAGATTTAGCAAACCGAAGGAAAGATGTGGTAAGACTTAGCAGGCCAAATGAATGTAGTAAGACTTATGCAGACCAAATCAAAGATGTCGTAATAAATAACAGACCAAATAATTGTGGTAAGATTTAGCAAACCGAAGGAAAGATGTGGTAAGACTTAGCAGACCAAATGAATGTAGTAAGACTTATGCAGACCAAATCAAAGATGTCGTAATAAATAACAGACCAAATAATTGTGGTAAGATTTAGCAAACCGAAGGAAAGATGTGGTAAGACTTAGCAGACCAAATGAATGTAGTAAGACTTATGCAGACCAAATCAAAGATGTCGTAATAAATAACAGACCAAATAATTGTGGTAAGATTTAGCAAACCGAAGGAAAGATGTGGTAAGACTTAGCAGACCAAATGAATGTAGTAAGACTTATGCAGACCAAATCAAAGATGTCGTAATAAATAACAGACCAAATAATTGTGGTAAGATTTAGCAAACCGAAGGAAAGATGTGGTAAGACTTAGCAGACCAAATGAATGTAGTAAGACTTATGCAGACCAAATCAAAGATGTCGTAATAAATAACAGACCAAATAATTGTGGTAAGATTTAGCAAACCGAAGGAAAGATGTGGTAAGACTTAGCAGACCAAATGAATGTAGTAAGACTTATGCAGACCAAATCAAAGATGTCGTAATAAATAACAGACCAAATAATTGTGGTAAGATTTAGCAAACCGAAGGAAAGATGTGGTAAGACTTAGCAGACCAAATGAATGTAGTAAGACTTATGCAGACCAAATCAAAGATGTCGTAATAAATAACAGACCAAATAATTGTGGTAAGATTTAGCAAACCGAAGGAAAGATGTGGTAAGACTTAGCAGACCAAATGAATGTAGTAAGACTTATGCAGACCAAATCAAAGATGTCGTAATAAATAACAGACCAAATAATTGTGGTAAGATTTAGCAAACCGAAGGAAAGATGTGGTAAGACTTAGCAGGCCAAATGAATGTAGTAAGACTTATGCAGACCAAATCAAAGATGTCGTAATAAATAACAGACCAAATAATTGTGGTAAGATTTAGCAAACCGAAGGAAAGATGAGGTAAGACTTAGCAGACCATATGAAAGATGTGGTAAGACTTAGCAGGCCAAATGAATGTAGTAAGACTTATGCAGACCAAATCAAAGATGTCGTAATAAATAACAGACCAAATAATTGTGGTAAGATTTAGCAAACCGAAGGAAAGATGTGGTAAGACTTAGCAGACCATATGAAAGATGTGGTAAGACTTAGCAGGCCAAATGAAACATAAGGTACCATTTTTATTCAAAGAATAGTGTGTGTTTGCGTGTGCCTTGCTGCAATCGAGAGTTCTAGAGACGTCATGTATGTAGTCTAAATGAATGCAAGATACATTCTAATTTTATCCCGCTCTCTCACTGTCTCCCTCTATATCTCTATCTGTCTCCCTAACTACTTCTTTCTCACGCCCCCCTCTCTCTCTCCCTTTCCCTTCCTTCCTCTCCCTGACCCCCCCACCTCCCCTCTCTCTCTCTCTCTCTCTCTCTTCACTAGATGAAGCGACCACCAATAGGTTGGCGTAGAAATTTTGTAAAAAAAAAATAATACTGACCACTTTGGTTTCTTTGTTAGCGATGAGACCGTTCCAAACACCCAAATGATTACGTGTTTATGTGGGCTACATGACTGGACAATATAACAGACAAACATATCAACTTACAAATGTCCAAGACGTCCCCCTACAGTTCCCCAAACTCTATGACGACATCCGCCGCAGGCTCATTTCAGCTTCGCTCGAGTGTTTCTTCTTCCGTATCCTGCGCGCCAGCAGGATGGCGTTGGCCGTGTAGAGGAAAGGGTTGAAGGCAGAGTTGGCAGGCAGTAGAAAGACCGTGGCGACGACGTTCATCTCCCCGGGCACGGGCTGACCGGACCGGGCAGCGAGTCCCATGACCGTGATGGGGAACCAACAAAGGCAGTCTGTGAGCACAACTAAGATTAAACGCTTCGCAATGGCGGTGTCCTGGCGGACTCTGATCTCTGAGATTCTGGTGTGTTTCTGGAGAGTCACGGATAAGTAGATGAGGAGCTGGCCTAGAGCCACCAGGAGAAACACGGTCATGTTGAACAGGATGAAGATGCCGAAGGAGTACTCATAACCTGGGAGGTGAGATCTGGTGATGGGTAATGGCACTCCCACGGCCTTCTGCGTGTAGAGCTGCCAGTGCTGAAATGGCGGCAGCAGCGGGACGGTCGCCATGATGAGGCCGATGATCCACACGAGACCACAAGCGACGGTGGCAGATTTGGTGTTAAAGTGGCAGTTTGGATGTAAGGGGAAGGCTATGGCGAGCAGGCGGTCAAGCGTAACCAAAAGGATGAAGAGAGCCGAGGTCTCGCTGGAGAGAAGGCACAGAAACCCGGCGACCTGGCACGCGGCACTGCTCGTCCATTCGTGCTCGTACACCAGATACCGGTCTCTGTAGAAGGCGTCAGCACTTCCTATGATCACAAGGTAGACGCCCATGATAAAATCGGATGCGCTCAGACACGTGATGATGATTCGGAAACTTTGCTTCAGTCCCCTGTCAAAGAAGATCCGATAGACAATGACGCCGAGGTTTCCCGTGAGCGTCAGGACTGCCATGATCCACAGCGAGGCTCTCAGGAGCAGGGTCCGGAGGATGTCGGCGCACGACGATATCTCGTCGTTAGGCGCGTCACAGTCCACCGGCTGCACGGTGCTCGGTTTGACAGAATCGCAGCAAAGTCGAAAATTGTCCGTAGTAATCTGACGCAGGTTTTTCTGGTTTTGAAATATGCTCGATGTAAATGAGATGATATTGTTCCCTTTCAAATCAATCCGCTTTAACGCAACGAGCCCTTTAAACGCACCGTCTGAAATTTTCCAAATGTTCATATACCGCAACGTGAGCTCTTGGAGTTTGACAGCTCCGTCAAAACATTCGAACTCCAGCTCGTCTTTCCTGTTGTAGGACAAATCTAACTTAGTCAGCTCGCGCGTGTGTCGTAAGAACAAGTAATTTTCATTGTGTAGTCGATTACTGGATAAGATCAGAGTTTGCATCACGGGGCAGTGTTTGAACACATCATTTTCAAGGTGTTCGATTACGTTGTTGCTGGCGTCGAGAATCCTTAGATTCAGATACCTGAGACCCGTCTCCGTTATGTTCACCACGCCGCTGGACGACACGTTGAGGTAGATTAGGGCGTACGAAGCGATGCCCTCAAACTGCAGGTCCGGAAGGTGGGCGTCGTTGAGACGAATGTACCGAACGGGTACCGGGTCGAATTCGTTAAACCTTGGTGGCGCTTTGCACGTGATCTCCATCCTGACGCACGTGCAGTTAGGGGGGCAGTTTTTGATTTGATACGCACACAACGTCTCGTCGTCGTGGTTAGGACAGTGATAGTAGCCGTCGCACAGATTTTCGTTGTGCACGCAAACCCTTGAATATTTGCACTTGTACATGTTGGCGCACTGTTTCTCGCATTCCTGCCAGTTCTCGTCCTCGCCATTCGGGCAGTCGATGTAGCCGTTACAAAACATGTAATGGGGGATGCAGTACCCCTCTTGGCACTGGACGTGAGTGTCGGGGCAGAACCCGCCCTCTTTGAAGTACGGCCCGGTGTCAAACTTTCCGTAACCGTCAGGAAAGATAACCCCAGGCGGAGGCTTCGAAAGGAAGACGTTCTCTCTGAACACACTTTCAGGGGCGGGCTTGCCCTTCAAATCTCGAATGGGGCAGTCGATTTCGTTGTCTGTCGTCCAGTTAAACGGCAAGCAGGCAATCATGGGACACAGAGACGTCCTGGAATGGCATTCCGTGCAGTCTTCCTCGTCCGATGCATCAAGACAGTCCTCCAGGCCGTCACAAACTCTTCTTTTCTCCAACAGCATTCCGTCCGTGCATACCGTCATAGTGAGCCCCAGGCTTGCTTTGTCCGGGATCTTGCACATCGCCTCGTCAGTGGCGTCTGGACACCCGTCTATGCCGTCACACACAAAGGAATAAGCCAACATACCGGAAGTCTCACATTTGAACATGGTGTCCGCCAGGAGGTCGTAGTCACACCCGCGCTCATCGCTGTGGTCGTAGCAGTTGTCCACCTTGTCGCACCTCTGCTCTATGGAAATGTACTCTTTAGATCCACACCGGAACATGCTGAACTTTGTCGTGGGCCAAGCGTCCCCTACTGAATAATTTAAACCTGTCCCGTCACTGATAGGAAGCGGTTCCATTCTTCTCTCACAGATGAAAGAAGGGTTCTCTTTCTTATCTCCACATTCTGTTGAATGGAAGTAATCAAAGTGTAGCAGTGCGCAGGTTGACCAGCCGGCGTACCTGTATTCGTCCGGCAGGTAAAACGCCGTGCTGCCGTCAGTCCACTGCCACATGCGCCTGTACATTTGTTTCACCTGCTGTATCCGCATGCGCCTCAGGCCCAGGAAGATGATGGACACGCTGGGGCCGATGTAACGCCTGAGTCTGTCGATGAACATTCTCTCGGCCACAGTGTTGAGCGTGACGAGATGCGAGCTCAGGTTCGTCTCGCAGAACTCCTCGGCCATGTTCCACGACATGTTGGTCATGTTCGTCACCAGCTGGTAGCAGTGACCTTTAAAGGCGTAGCCCTGGGGCCAACAACCCGGCCGTTTGTAATAACAGATCCTTTCGTCTTCACCGTTGGCGCAGTCGGCGTGGAAATTGCACTTGCTCAGGTTAGGTGCCCCGATTGAACAATCCAGCGAATAGTTGTTGAACATCGGTATGAACTTCGATGTGTCCACGGCCACGTAGGAAATGTTGAACCCAACACCCGAGTGGATGCTGTTTGAGTGAAATTTCATGATACACGTGTTACTGGGAAGAATCACGGGCTGTCGAAAGTGTAAGTCCGATAATCTTAAACGTGTTGGAAACATTCTGGAGAGATTTTGATTTGTGTAAATGTCAATAAAATCCCCAGGCTTCAAATCGATAAACGCGGCGTTCAGTGCAATTAATTTATCTTTAGGAACAGTAATTCTCCACTGACATTCAAGTTTGTTTGGATAGTTTTGTCCCTTTGACATCCCAGGAGATGAAATGTAACCGTGGTAGGGGTTTAAACTGACGTACTCCGAGGAGTCGCATGAATTATAGGCAAACTTGACGCACGGAACAATCTCAACTACAAAATTGATTTTATCCACACACTGTTTATTGTCCAGCAAGCTGAGCGTCAGATTGACCTGACTGAACTCGACGAACACAGCCGTCGGGGCCTTGATGCCGCAGAACCGACCGATCACGTGCCGGTCGGGCGTCTCCGTGTTCTGGTTGGGCGGGTTGTTCACGCTGACCTCGAGGGACTCGTCGCAAACGCCGAACGCTTCACTCCGCAACAAATTCAAGCCCGGAACGGAAAAGTTCAGGAATTTGAGCAGGATGTGTTGACTACCACTGACGAAGATGTCGGTTGTGTGATTGCAGTTGGTGATGCAGCACGTCTCCACGGTCACGTTGAGCACGGTCGCCCCAGACACGTTCAAAGTCGTGTGGTTGCACGAAGTCTTGGAGTCGATGAGCACGGTCACATTGGTTGTCTTGTAATCAAGTTTCGGGATTGTTCCGGCCGGGAACGTTTTTTTCGCCTCGTACACGAATTCCGTCATTCCGAGACACTCATAGCCCTCGGGCCCCAAGTAGCGCACACTCGCGACCTGCGGCTGTTTCATTTTATTTTTTCTGCTCTTTGGTTGCCATGACGCGTCCCGGTCTAGCGCGGCGTTTTGTCGATTTCTCGTCACGTTTCTAGCAGAGTCTAAAGATCTCGCGCCGCCAATCAGCTGTGGCTCAGCGTCATGTATTGGACCGTGATTTACATCTTCAAAAACTGACGCACTTTTAACAAGGTTTTTGTCTGAAATCAACTTCTTTTCGGACGGGTTTCCGGCAACGTCGTACAAGTAAGTATCGATGCGTTGACCTAGCATTCCATTATCACTATCCACAGGCTCTCCGATTCCGTTGCGGTGTCCTCGGTCAGCGGCCGTGGTCCCTCTGTGAGTAGACCCCAGCCTGAGGTGACTAGTATTGCCTGGGATCTCGGTCAGTGTCGCTGGTGTGTCCATGTGAATTGTCATCATAACGTTACTCACAAACATAGAGCCAAACACAAAACTCCAAAGTGATTGCATGCTTGAGTGTTTTGGTCGTATCACGGCGTGTCTAGTTATGACATGGTCATTCTTTTTGGCTCGAAGGCACGGTCCATGAAGTTGGGTTTAATTGTTTAAATTTTTTGCACTAGACATGATAATAGTTACTTATAATTTTTTTTTAAAAATTTAAATACAATTCTTTAAAAAAAAAAATACCTTTGAATGCATACGTTTGTGTGTGTGTGTATAAATTAAGGTAGAAAAGTCACCGAAGAAAGCAAGGGACAACATCTTAATAAAAGTTAGACAATTGTGCGCAATCAATCCGATGCATTTCCCTATTTGTTAAACCTTTGTATACAATATTTGTTTCAAAAACAGAACAAGAAGGAAAAAAAAAATTCTTCAAGCAGCATAACTCCAGGAACTCTTTAGTTTCCTTCAAAAGACAGCATAAATCCAGGAACTCTTTAGTTTCCTTCAAAAGACAGCACAACTCGAGGAACTCTTTAGTTTCCTTCAAAAGACAGCACAACTCGAGGAACTCTTTAGTTTCCTTCAAAAGACAGCATAAATCCAGGAACTCTTTAGTTTCCTTCAAAAGACAGCACAACTCGAGGAACTCTTTAGTTTCCTTCAAAAGACAGCATAAATCCAGGAACTCTTTAGTTTCCTTCAAAAGACAGCACAACTCGAGGAACTCTTTAGTTTCCTACAACAAGCAGCATAACTCGAAAAACTCTTTTTTTTTTCCGTCAAAAAGCAGCACAACTAGAGGAACTCTTCAGTTTCCTTCAACAAGCAGGGCACTACCACCTTAGTTAATAATGTCTGCACACACATTTGTACTCCGCTCAAGTAGGACAACGCTATAAGCTTCGTTACTCATCTCCAACAGCTGACCGTGACAGTGGAAATGTTTGTCGTCTTTGAAACCATCATGGCCACTAAAAAGTGGATAAATAACTAATGGGTGTTTAACATTAATAAAGGTCATTTTAAATCTTTTTTTTTCTGGTTCATTTATTTATATTCGTATTTATTCATTTAATTTCGATCAGTTAACTCTAGATCAGAGGTTCTCAAATTTTTGGACGCATTTTCTGCTAGATCTTTTTCTAGAACCCTATAAATCGGGGCTTCTTAACCAGTTCTGCAAGACGTTAGAGAGAAACAATGTGGGGGGGGGGGCTGGGTAGTGGGGAGACCCAGAAACTTAAAAAAATTGCTGAACCGCCATTTGAATAATTCTTAATACGAACTGGATATGTTTTTAGACTTAAACTATTTTTTTTCATTATCACTGTACTGGATTTTAGGAACAAACCGTTTGGGAACTGTTCCACTAGATGGCTCATGTATTCAAAGATTGCCCCCCCCCCGTCGTGGCCAGTCAATGACATCGATGACCTTCCACCGCAATTCGAGACGGACAATGACACCCAATTAGTGCTTCACGTCAGCCGATGACGCTACAGACCGCTTTGAAAAGACTTTTGTTTCTTGGATGCCCGAATCTATTCACTCAAACATTAACACACACACGCACACACACACACACGCACAAAACAAGCAACCCGTTGGCGTCATTTGAGAGAAGAGTTGCACACGATTTCGAAGGAAAAAACATCAGAATCTCTCAGGTGGATATTTATGCGTGATGTGTCCATAGACGGGTAGTGTGTGTGATTTGTACAGAGGTGGATTATGTATGTGATGTGTACTGACATGTGTTATGTGTGTCATGTGTAAAGAGAGGTACTTTGAGTACGATGTGTACAGCTATGGAGCATGTGTGTGGTGTGTTATCTGTATTTGAATGTACCACATCATGGTTAAGTCAAGTTCCAAATGTTAAACTATTAGGAAGGTTAAAGAAAGGCACCGCCAAAAAAAGGACCGCTTACAGATACAATCTGGAGAAGGTTAAAGAAAGGCACCGCCAAAAAAAGGACCGCTTACAGATACAATCTGGAGAAGGTTAAAGAAAGGCACCGCCAAAAAAAGGACCGCTTACAGATACAATCTGGAGAAGGTTAAAGAAAGGCACCGCCAAAAAAAGGACCGCTTACAGATACAATCTGGAGAAGGTTAAAGAAAGGCACCGCCAAAAAAAGGACCGCTTACAGATACAATCTGGAGAAGGTTAAAGAAAGGCACCGCCAAAAAAAGGACCGCTTACAGATACAATCTGGAGAAGGTTAAAGAAAGGCACCGCCAAAAAAAGGACCGCTTACAGATACAATCTGGAGAAGGTTAAAGAAAGGCACCGCCAAAAAAAGGACCGCCTACAGATACAATCTGGAGAAGGTTAAAGAAAGGCACCGCCAAAAAAGGACCGCTTACAGACACACAAGAAAAGATGCGTCTTCAGAAAATACATGTATCAAATTGTGCGACTGCGCAATACCGACGACAGGACACAGCAGAGCCGAAGTGTGCATCTGGGCGACGCAATCTTAGCAAGCGGGGAGTGCGTCGGATGTTATAACACAATGAAAAGTTATTCACTTGTTTGCCCCCAGGGCGCGATCTTGTCAGTCGACGGACCTGAAACGGTGGAGTCACAACAAGGATCGGTTAAATGGTGTCCATGTTCTATTCCGTTGCACTGGCAAAACTTGTTATAAACTAGAGTGATTGTAAACAGGTATCTTGCTGTTTGTAAACAGATTTGTCGCCGATTGTAAACAGGTTTGTCGCCGATGGTAAACAGGTTTGTCGCCGATGGTAAACAGGTTTGTCGCCGATGGTAAACAGGTTTGTCGCCGATGGTAAACAGGTTTGTCGCCGATGGTAAAAGATTGTCGTCGATGGAAAAAAAAAATGAGTTACCGATAAATTCATGAGCTCCAAAAAAAAAACAACAAAAAAACAAAGGGGTAAAGGTCTTAGTGACAATCATCGACAAATAAAACACGTAATGTTCCAACAGTTTGAGATTCACTGAGAGAGGAGCTTGAATGTTGAAAACCAATGATGACCCTTGCTGTCACGTGATTGGCGAATTAAATTAACAGTAAACCGAGACAGCAAATATTGCAAATACTGAGACGCCAATGCAATAAACTATTTTTATCAAATAGCCATAAATGTATGTCTGTTTTGGATGAGAAGAGACAATGTCAAATTATCCTGAAATCTATACGAATTGAATATACAAAAATACAACACGTTCGGATTGGAGGATTGATCGTGTGTAATTGTGAACAGTTTAGTAGCTGTCAACCAAATTAAAATCAGAATGATGTTTATGTCTTACAATGCTATACAAAGGTGACGACGAAGAGAAATAAACGTAAACTTTGGGAAGATAATTGGCACAAAATACAGTCAGATGCGAGGGGTAGGTATGAAATTGAACAAAAGACATTCAAACGTGCGTGGAATATACGAGACGGCTATGCAATCAGGTGTGAAGGGGT